AGCGGCCCGCCAGGTTCCATGTGTCCACCCAGAAGGCTGTGTTGGACAATTATGAAATTCCATGAATAATTTGAGAATATAAATACCCTTCAATTTTTTGGAGAATATAAATCATGATTGAAATAATTATTAGGATGTAGCCGTAGCATATAAGATGAACAAAACATCATAAATAGGAGCATTGCACATGCAACAGTAGCCATAATAAAAAAAATATTAAGATCACAACACACGTACTGGTTGATTGTAGATGAAGTAGCACAGGCTGTTGCAGAGGCGATGTTATCGAGGACGACGTTGGCGAAGACCGGTCGAAGCAGACATTGATGACGACGACGTGCAGCAACGCCTAACTTTGGAGGTAGACGACCTGTTATGAACAATGTGACCAGTCGCACATAACCCTTCCTAAAAACCTAATATGCCCTCTCCCAATGCGGGATTATAAGAGCAAGAGGTTCCGGAGACCTGCTCCCCCACTCGTCGGTGCGCGCCATCGTTCAGGATGGAGTAGACTACGATGGCGGCACAAATAGGCCCGAGTCCTGCCAGGTCAGGCGAGGCAGGGCGAGCAGGCGCGCGTGGTGTTGTCTTTCTCTTCTCGTATTGTCGGTGTATAAAAGTAGGGGCTCTCCTTTTGCACCTCTTTACTTGTGCACGGGCAGTCAGAGCCGCGCCCACGGCCACACTAAGCAGGGCAGAGGAGGGAAGCCGGAGCACAAGACGACCAAAGCAACGCCAAGACCAGAGGCGCAAGGAGAGCAAGACGGCGAGGTGGACTCCCCCGGCAGGACCCTTGCCGGGGTGGCTTCCGCAGCCTCGGCAAGATCCTTGCCGGGGCAACTTGCCTGAAGCCAGCAGAGCGCGCCACCCTTGAGCCCAAGGGATTCCAACACCATCAACCATATTGGAACCAAGGCTCGGGAGGCACCTCCGTGGTGGCATGCAGATCTTTGTAGAGATCATAGATACACAAGATCAGATGAGAACCAGAAGACCACGATCCTTGGCAAGATCCTTGCCAGGGAAATCCACGAGACCCCCGGCAAGATCCTTGCCGGGGACGACCGTGGTGCCGCAGCGAGACCCTTGCCGGGCCCTCGGCAAGACCCTTGCCGAGGACGCCTGTGGGGCCGCAGCCAGGCCCGCGTCTGCCAAGACTCCACCGCCGCTCCCATACAGCTGCCAGCTCGACCAGCTGGGCAGGCATCTGCGTGGCAGCGCGCGGCCTCTACACCAACTCAGCAAGCACCTGCGTGGTGGCATGCAGGTCTTCGTGAAGGCTCCACCACCACGCTAGCCCAGCAGCCAGCCAACGTGGCGCTACAATGCCTCGTCAGCTTGGACGCGCGTCGGAGCCAGGCGAGGCGACGACAGCTGGGACGAGCTTCTTTGCCGTCCCCAATAAAGTAAGAGGGACACGTCGGTAGCGCATTAAATGCATTTTTCCGACGATGCCAGGAGATAGACTCAGCCCCTGTACAACTTTCCACCTCCTGTGTGCCATTGTGGTGATCCCTTTTTGTCTATAAAAGGAGGCCCGAGGCGTACTAGAGGGGAATTCGGATCTTTTGGACTAGGGAGCCACCGTAAATAGTTCAAGAACACAAGAACACCCAAATATACATCAAAGCAGGACTAGGGTTTTACGCGTCTCCGTGGCCTGAACCTGGGTAAACGATTTGTGTGCTAACCGTCAGACCCGCTCTTTGCACAACCCCGCACCCGCCAACCATAGAAGGGATCCTAGTGACCCCATAGGTGTCGTTTCCCACCGACATCTCTGGCGCGCCAGGTAGGGGGTGCGCAGTTGTGAAAATCCGGTCTGGTTGAAGCAACGGCTTCATCGTGGTCGTCACTTCAAGCAAGAAGACGACCGAACAAATGGCGTCCTCGGTGGACGCGACGAACGCTCACGCAGCGGCAGAAAAGCTAAGTCATGCAAAACTTTGAGTAATTCCTTTTTATATATAAGGTTATCGTCCTCGACGATCTTGCCCTATGTATGGAAAACCTGCACGCAATGGGGCCCTACCACTATTGGCAACACCCTCGTTCTGTTTTGAGTCCGTTCAACAGTTTGAGCGGCTGCGTCGAGAACGGCAGGGTGACCTTCTGCGATTGGCAACGCTCTCGCTCTGTCTCGAGTCCGCTCGATAGCTCGAGCGGCCGCGTCAAGAGCAGTGAGGTGGTTTTTCGGGCAGCAAGCATACCCGGTAGGCAATTGGGGATCCGTCCTCAAGGCACCGCCTAGGTTTCTGCACCGGCAAACCTACCCGGTTAACGTAGGGTCGACATACAAAGGGAGATCAAACGGGAAAATAACATGCATCGTTTCAAAAGTACTACAGGGTTATATTACATCATTTGTTGCTGCGGTTCTAACTAAAGATAAAAATTTTCTTGGTCATGAACCTGTAGCGGCGATAATAAACAGGGTGCCTAGTCCCGGCGCTGGCCTTGTACCCTCCGAACTCCGTCGATGCGGCTGATGACGAGCTCGATGCGCTCCTCGAGAGGCGCGGGATCCATGTCGTCCGGCAAGCTATCCAGCAAAGCTTCGAAGTCGAGGTCAGGGTTTCAGTACGCCATCTTGGTGAGGACCTTGGTCATGGCACCCCGGCAAAGCCTCCGGGCCTCTTCGGCCAGAGAGGTCGCCCTGTTGGAGTGGAGCCGCTCCAGGGCCCCAAGAACACCCTCGAAGAACAGGGTCAGCCTGGCATTAGGACTCACGTTTGGCTCTAGGATGTACCTCACGTTAGACATCCCCATGGTATCCAGCTGCGTGGTGATCCTGCCGGCGACGTCGGCGAGGCGGCTGACCCAGAGCTTCTCGCCCGCCACAAATTCCGCATGGTTGGCGGCGCCGTTCTTCCACAGCTGCCTCTCATTCTCCAGATTCTTGGTCAGGGTCTCCTCCCGGGCCCTGACCTTGGAGAGCGCCCCCTCAAGACCCTCCAGCTTCAGCTTCAGGTCCTTGATGGACTCGTTGGCCGTGGAGAGCAGCTCGACCTTGTCGAGGACTGCGACCTGCGCATCAGCCAAGGCGCCCTTGGCCGCGTCCCTCTCCCCGTCAGCTCCTGGATCTGCTTCGTCAGCCCGTCCCGCTCCACCTCTAGCTTGTTCACCTTGCCGGCGTGGACCTGGGCCTGAGCATTGAGGGCCTCCTCATGCCTCCGCTCCAGCTCTTGGGTCCGCTGCACAACAAGCTCCTGGACCTCCTCGTCCTTGCCACGGAGTGTCGTGGCGAGTTTCTCCTCGCGAGCGGCAAGGTCCTCCTCCTGAGAGTTCAGCTCGGCCTGGTGCTGACACCTAGCGGCCTCCTCCTTGGCGGCCTGTTGACTTGCCACCTCCCGGGCCTTCTCGACATCAGCCTGCTTCATGGTAAGCTCCAGCTTGCACTCGGCCAGCTGATCCTGGGCGCTCTTTAGCTCCTCACTGGCCTGGCAGAACCAAGCCTCCGTCTCGGCGCCGCGACCTTGGAGGTCCGCCTCCGCCTTATCCACCGCTGCCATCCTGGACTTGGCCTTGTCCAGGAGGGCACGGTGAAGCGCCTGAAGCTTGTGGAAGTTGGCGCTCATGCTCTAGAGGAGCCGCTCCTCCTGGGAACCGCCGCCACCGACGCTCGGTTCGTCAATGACCTCAAGGCCGGCGGCGGCAAGCACCTCATCGTTGAACAACCCCCCTCGGCGAGCGCCCTGGTGCTCACCGTCCATGGGAGGTGGACGAACAGGTCGTCGCCCACCTTCAGATAATTGCCCGAGCCAGAAGCGGCGGAGTAGGAAGGATAGTCGTCGACCACCTCCTCCTCGACAGCGGCCTTGCTGGCCTCCCCGACAGGCCCCTTGTCGGCCTCCTCGGCAGCGGCCTCGCCAACCTCCCCGGCAGGCCCCTCAGCAGCGTCCTCAGCAACGTCCTTGGCCGCCTCCTCAGCGGCGATCTCGCCAGC